CGGAGGTGACTGGTCGGGTGGAGGTGGGGGGGCGGGAGACGCTCTGTCCCACGCTCTCCCAGCGCTCGGTGGCTTAAAGATGGCGGCGGCAGCTGCGGCGTTAGGGGCGCGGAGCCGCGGGAGGAGGAGGGAAAAGGAGAACCTCTGAGTCGCGGCGAGGCAGCGCGGCGGCGGCTGTGAGGAGCCCGGGTGCGGGGACGCCCGTGGCCCGGCTGCTCGGGGCCAGGCCCTGGACTCGGGAGCAGAGGCCAGAGCAGCCCCCGGAGTCCGAGGCCGGAGCCGAGGAGGAATGTGACTGGGGTCGGCGGGGCGCGGGCGGACTCGAGCGCAGAGATGGGGCAGCAGGTGGGCCGCGTCGGGGAGACTCCGGGGCTCCAGCAGTCGCAGCCCCGTGGGATCCGGGGCAGCAGTGCAGCCAGGCCCTCCGGCCGCAGGCGGGACCCGGCGGGGCGCCCCGCGGAGGCCGGCTTCAATATCTTCACCCAGCATGGTGAGTGTGCCCGGGAGCCGAGGAGCCCGGGGGTGGGGTCGGGGCGGGCTGAGAGGCCGACCGGCAGCCTTAGGGGATCGGCGGTAGAGGGGTGCCTGAGAGTGGGGGCGGAATGTGCTGCCATCTGGGCCAGGCATAGGAGGCGAATCGCACCCCTCCCCCCTCCCGTCTCCAGCCTGGCTGGCAGCTCGGGGGCGGAGGAGGAAAGAGAAGTGGGCTTGGGCACTGTGGATGGACTTGTCCTCGATCCTGGGACGGGGCTCTGCGCCGGGGAGGAGGAGGGTGATGGAAACCCCAGGGGAGGAAAGGGTGAGGGGAGATGTGAGCGGCAAAACCTGGAGGTGGGAAGGTAAAACAGTCGTTAGCAAAGAGAGTTGTGCCCCGAGGGATTGGGAACTGGGAACTGACTCTGGAGAGGTGTAAGTCAGGCGATGGTCAGGGTCAGCATAGTGAACTGTGAACAGTACTCTGAACACCTTTCTCTAGGGAAGATAAAGGTGGTATCGCCTCACCAGGATTCTGGCCACTTAGGACATTTTTTCATGCTAGAAAGAAAGGACTTTACCAAACCACCCTCCGTTTTGAGCTTTTGAGTCTGAGATGGCTGGCAGGGACTAAAGGATGGTGGACGTGGTGTTAGGACTTTGGTCTGGATAAGAAGAGTTTTCATATATAATATATATATATATATATATATATATATATATATATAAATAAAATCATACGTATATCGATCTCGGTATCAATATACTTTTAGAATAATCCACTGCAGTTGAGTTGGTTCAGACTCAGAGCCTATAAGGTGGAATAGAACTACCCCTTTGGGTTTCCAAGGCAGTAAATCCTTACGAGGGCAGAAAGCCTTGTCTTCCTCTCCGTTCTAGTGGGTTCAAACTGCTGGCCTTGCAGTTAGCAGCCCAACAAGTGAGTAGCCATCCTCACGGTCCCTTGATTCCGACTCATAGCAGCCTATGGGTTTCCGCTGTAAATCCTTGCAGGAGCAGACAACCTCATCTTTTTCGAGAAGAGCAGCTAGTGGATTTGAACTGCCCACCTGGTGGTTAACAGCCCAACTCTCACCCACAGCACCAGAAGGGCACCTTACTTTTAGATTAGTTATCACCGAATTCTTTTGACCATACAGCTTTATTGATAAGAATTTTGAGTATATACTCCAGTAGTGTGTGTATCTTGCAATTATATACATGTACTACTGATCTAATATGTTGTGAAATTTATAAACAGAAAAACAAATATAATTTTAGAAAGGCTGAAATGAAAAATGAAACATAGGCAATTCTAATCGATTTTTAAAATGTATTCAATGGCTCCTGCTTTTGCACATCCTCTGAGGTGCACCTGTGGCCATGATTGAGACCCCTGTTCTAGAGCTTGGAAGGGTGGAGAAGGGAAAAAAACAAAATTGGCCTTCATGGGGTTGAGATGCTCTTAAGACCAGCGATTAGCTGAAGGAGATAGATGCAACATTTATAGAAATCCAAAAAACAAGAACCAAACTCATTGCCATCGAATAGATTCGGATTCATAGCAGCATCCTAAAGGACAGAGTAGAACTGCCCCTATAGATTCCCAAGACTGTAACTCTCTATGGGAATAGAAAGCCCCATCTTTATCCCACAAAGTGGCTGGTGGATTTGAACTGCATAGAAAGGTATGGATAACTGACTGAAGTTGAATTAGAGGTAGTACACTGGAGTTTCGCTAAAGCAGCATCTAGGTAATTAAGGGCAAAAGAAACTGTTCTATATTGCACAATTTCAGGAAGTAAAGGAGGACAAAGATTAAGTATGAATTATTTATTGGAAGTGGACTTTTTGAGGAAGTAATGATAGATGGTAGCATATGCAAAGAGATGAATCCAAGGATCATGGCAACTAAGTGAGTTGTGTCAGAGTTCCAGTTAGGTCCTTGTGAACAAGCCAAGTGGTTGAATGGAGGATTTGGGGCAACACCATTCACTCTTTTACATGTCTGCTATTAGAGATGTGAGTGAACTTATGTTTAAGGTATTATGAATATTTTGCAAAGGTGCTCTGTGAATTATTATTTTTTCCTTGAAATCATTTCCTAAAATGCAGGTGGAAAGAATAGATGAATAGTTTTAGGGAGGAAGTCATCCGAGTAGCGTTATTTTATGGGAATCTCCCTGTGCATTAAACTTGCCCTAGTGATGCTTCTCTTTGTTTAGCATCTTATTCAGGAAATAAGAAGGAAGAAATCATGATGGGTAGAATAGAAGAATGAATAGGCTCTGGATATATGGAGCAGGAGGAAAGGGTGGTCTGAGTAAGAAACTACTCCCAATAGGAACATCATTTGTTGCAGGAGACATCTAGGAGGAGTGAAGTAGGGATGTGAATTGGGAATATAGAAACTGGCTTCACTTTGCTGGGTGATTTAGTCTAGTGGTGTTTTTGGTTAGCTGTGAAATGAGAAAGTTGGACTAGATGACCTTTAAAGTACCTTCTGGCTTTAAAATGTTATGATTCTAATTGATAGGCAATGGGAAGAAGATTTTGAATGTATTAGATGGGACTGGGTTATGGAAAATATGGAAGTTTATGTCATTTTTAGGTAATGCAAATGGACCCAAGTATGAATTGAGGAAAACCTGGCCTTGAGTGGAGGCAATAAAAATAGGAGAGGCTTTAAGGATTATTTAATTCACTTAATAAACCTTAGTTTTTATGAGCACCTATTTTCTGCACTCTGGCAGTACAGTGGTTACACATTGGGCTGCTAACCCCAAGGTCAGCAGTTTGAAACCATCAGTCATTCTGAGGGAGAAAGATGAGGCTTTCTACTCCATAAAGAGCTACAGTCTTAAAAAGCCCACAGGGCCGGTTTTTTATAGTCCTGGTGGTGTAGTGATTACGAATTAAACTGCTAACTGCAAGATCAGCACTTTGAAAGATGGGGCCTTCTACTGAGTTCTACATGGGCAGTTATACCCCATCCTGTGGAGACACTTGAGTTTGGACTTGACTTGATGGCAGTGAGTTTGGTTTGGAGTTTTATAGGGTCATTGTGAGTCATAATTCACTGTGGCCTTAAGTTTCATTTTGGCTTATTACTGAGGAACCATGTGGCACAGTAGGTAAAGTGCTGACTGCAGGGTTAGCCATTCCTCTGGGAGAAAGGTGAGGCTGTCGACTCTGGCTCCCATAAAGATTGACAGCCTAGGAAACTATATGGGTCACTTTAGACCTGTCCTGTGTAGGATTGCTATGAGTTGGAACCAACACTTTGACACATGGGTTTTTTGGTTTGATTTAGTGTTGTTGTTTTTAAAATATCTGATATACCTTTTAACAGTTTGGTGGTTTTATTTGCATTTGATTTCCTTCTTTTCATTTGCTGATAATTTTGTTAAAAATTAATCTTAAATCCTGAAACTTTGAATAAGAAAGTTTTTCTCTTAAAGTTGTCATTTTAAGTGGTCAGGCTTTTACTTTTTTATTTTGCAACCTAGTTTGTTTTCATATTTTCAGAATGAGAAATGTGAGCACCCTGAGGCTGAAATGATGTAGAAAGAAGGGCAGCGGTTCAAATCCGTCTGCCACTCTGCAGGAGACTTGATAAAGCTATCTGCTCCCATAAATATTTTAGCCTTTAGGTTTGCAGTAAGTCAGGACCGACTCGGTGACATACAACCATAGAATTGGCATTGCTTCTTATGAGAACTGAAATTTTAAAGCAGAAACCAGCTGTTAGAATTTCATTACCTTTCAGATTTGCATAAGTTATAGTATAGCTATATGTATTTTTATCAAAATTATAAAATAAATTATGATAAATAGATTCTGTCTTCATAGTCCAGCTGTTAGTAAGATCCCAGGTGAAACCATAAACTCTTAAGTTTCTCCCTGAGGATCTTCAGCGTACTTCAAAAAGATAACAAAACCTACTACAAGAAAAATTACAATCCTTATTTTCCTTTTTTCTACTACGTTCTTTTTTTTAATGTTCACTCTCTTTCAAAAGAAGGGATGCTACTGCTGATAATTTATACTTGTGTAGTTGTTAGAGTTAATGGCCTTTTATGTCCTTTATCTCATTTGACCTTGACAACCAATCTATGAAATAGATGTTACCAGTATTAATCTTCCCATTTTATAGAATGAAAAGAGTTAAGGGCATTAAGTAAATGGAATGGAAATTTAAGTCTTTGTATTCAAGTATTGGTGTAACCCACTGCCCAATGTCATTGTCCGAATCATAATGATCCCGATAGGGTTTCCTGAGACTATAAATCTTTATGGGAGCAGATAGCCTCCTCTTTCTCCTGTGGAGCAGCTAGTGGTTTTGAACTGTTCACCCTGTGGTTAGAAGCCCAGTGCTTAAACGACAGAATTACTATGTCTCCATAGAGATTTAGAGAGCATGGGTTTTTTAATTGAAATTGAATTTAAGTTCTGCCTTGTTTCTGTCATTGGTAACTAATAATTTATCACTTCCACTTCACTAGATTGTTGAAAGAATGAAATGATAAAATTATGTAAGGCTTTAATGAAGAGCCAGGGACTAAATTTTCAAAAATCAGCAATTTTATTATTTGTTATTTACCTGAAATATGTAAACTGTGTGTTCCAGATAAACACATTTTGTAAGCTTCTGAAACACTGCTGTTGTTAGCATGCTGACGTGCTGTTATGCTAGAGTTCCATTTTAAGCCTTTATTTCTCTACTTGTGAAGTGACTCTTGTTATTTAAGCTTTCAGAAAGCAGCAAATAAATAAAAGGGAGGGGGACCTTTGGGGACGACATACAGGAGAACCTGAAATCCCATTAAACCTACCTTCCTGTGGAAGTACTTGATAACCTCCCAGGATGACTGGTCTTGGGGGTCAGGTGTCTGTCAGAGAGCACAGTCTGTGTTCTTTTCACGAGGATTCTCTCTTCTTCCTTCAGAGAAGATGAACCAGAAACAAAGTCCAATATAAAGGAAAGCTGAGAGGGACCTCATGCTAAGCTGGTGC